GTTGTATTTCTGACTGAGAGGATTGTTTTTATTGTGTTGTAATACAATGTATGTATTATGTACACATATTTATTGGACAAATTGTATATATGGTTAAATGATATATTATATGTTATTGAGTTTATATTACCCATATTATAAAAAATAAAATAAGTTAAATGCAAACAAATCAGTATATTAACTAAGTAACATAATAAATATTTTAGTATATTAACTGTGTAACATAATAAATTTATACACAAACTATATACAAATATTATATGTTACTCAGTTTATAAGTAACTTGTGGGCTTTGTAGCCTATCATATGCATTATAATCATTCACATATAATTATATATATGTTTTTTTAGCTATAAACATGAATATAAGTGTATCTTACATATATTAAGTAAGACAAAAGCAGTGTTTAAATAAATTTGCAATCCTTGGAATCAACCGATGTCTACACAAGTTTCTTAGAAAAACTTGGAAAGATGATCAAACTAAATGGACATGAGTTCAATACTATGACTTTTATAATTATTTATTAAAAAGTCTTATAGTATTTTCTTTCAAAGCTAAAGGTAATTATGATCACATTAGATGCTTATAATTATTTTGGCTTTGGCTAGATGCAGGAAGTTTTTCACAAGACATTAGGCTCTAGTTTTTTTGTTTTGAAAACACAAGTTGTCTGACTTGTGCGATTAAAACAACAAAACCATTTTAGTCACCAGAGTTGACTGAAAATAACAAAACCATCTTACATATATATATATATATATATATATATATATATATATATATATATATATATATATATATATATATATATATATATATATATATATATATATATATAATTTAGATATTATTTATATTTACACGTATATAAGTATATATATATATATATATATATATATATATATATATATATATATATATATATATATATATATATATATATATATATATATATATATATATATATATATATATATAAATATATGTATATATATATATATATATATATATATATATATATATATATATATATATATATATAGTATATATATATATATATATATATATATGTATATATATATATATATATATATATATATACATATATATATATGTATATATATATATATACATATATATATATATATATACATATATATATATATATATATATATATATATCAAAAATCACTTAAAGACACAACAACCCTTGTGCATTTTAAAGTATTTGTTCGTGGCAAAAAATAATGTTGTATTTCTGACTGAGAGGATTGTTTTTATTGTGTTGTAATACAATGTATGTATTATGTACACATATTTATTGGACAAATTGTATATATGGTTAAATAATATATTATATGTTATTGAGTTTATATTACCCATATTATAAAAAATAAAATAAGTTAAATGCAAACAAATCAGTATATTAACTAAGTAACATAATAAATATTTTAGTATATTAACTGTGTAACATAATAAATTTATACACAAACTATATACAAATATTATATGTTACTCAGTTTACAAGTAACTTGTGGGCTTTGTAGCCTATCATATGCATTATAATCATTCACATATAATTATATATATGTTTTTTTAGCTATATACATGAATATAAGTGTATCTTACATATATTAAGTAAGACAAAAGCAGTGTTTGGTGGACTGTATTTTTGTTCAGAAAAAAATTGAATACTTAGATCTGAAAACAGTATCAATTCAAGATAAGCCCAGCAAACAATAGATGTCTTTTAGACCGTCTAAAATTGGTCTAATTTGTATCTATTGCCGATACGTATATTTTAGACGTGTATTAGAGATCGAAAAGACGTCTGATTCTAGAGATACTATTTTTGCTCTGTATTATATGCATATTAGATGCATAAAATAGATCGTGCATAGATATTTTTTTTTAATCTAAACTTAGATGTCTATAAGATGTCTTTTATAGATTTGTTATAAAACAAGAAAAAAATTTTAACTATCTTTACGGAGCGATAATTATAAATGACCGCCATTAAAAAACCCTGCGGAAACTTATTTCAAAAAAAGCATGAAGATTTTAACCTATTGAAGACATCAATGATTATTTCTTTTGATAAATTTTAAATAATAAAATAACATGCTATTACACCATGTAACAACATTTTTGTTTATGTTAATTTTTTAATGTTTCTTACATAATTTTTGTATGCTGACTTCAGTGGTACCATTGGTTTTTCTCTATCATCAAGATTTCCTGAGAAAAAGCATAAAGTATATTTCGGAGTTTTCGTATATGTGTAATGCAATTAAAACATTATATATATATGCTGATTTTAACTATATTCGTGTGTTTATTTTCAGCTTAACTAATTACAACTGTTACATGAAGTAGTGAATATGTCTAGTAGATCCTGCAAGCTTTGTCCTGACTCATTCTGTTATGTTTGTGGTTACTATATTAGTCCAACACAAGCTAAACATAAGATTGTCAGTGGTACAAAATTCCTTACTGTATATCATGCTTATTTTGGCATGGCTATGGGAGATCAGGACAAATCGTGGGCACCACACTACAGTTGTGGTAGCTGCAGATCAACTCTGGAAGGATGGCTGCGTGGAATCCGAAAGTCAATGCCCTTTGCGATTCCGAGAATATGGAGAGAACCGACGAACCATCATGATGACTGCTTTTTCTGCATTGTTGACATTTCAAAGTATAAAAAACCGAAAGATAGGCTGACTCTAGTTTATCCAAGTATACCATTTTCTATTGGACCAGTTCCACACAGTGATGAATTGCCTGTTCCTACTCCACCTCAATCCGAAGAAGCAGCTGCATATCATTCTGAAGTAGACTCACCGGATGAACTCAATGATGACTGTGATTTCAGGGAACCGAATGATTCACCTCATTTCCCTAACCAACAAGAACTTGATGACTTAGTACGAGATTTAGGTCTCACTAAATCAAATGCAGAACTTCTGACATCACGTTTGAAAGAATGGAATTTATTAGATCCAAGCTGCAGAACCTCGAAATACCGTAAAAGGCATGAAACATTCGCATACTTTTATGTAGTATCAGAATCACTGTGCTATTGTCATGACGTTTGTGGTCTTTTCAATGACATTGGCATTGTTCACAATCCTGAAGAGTGGAGATTATTTATTGACAGCTCAACAAGAAGTCTAAAGGCAGTTTTGCTCCATAACGGAAACCGATTTCCTTCAATTCCAGTAGCTCATTCCGTTCATCTAACGGAAGACTATAAGAACGTGAAGTTGTTGCTTGAGAAAATCAACTACAACAGTTACAAGTGGGATGTATGTGGAGACTTTAAGATGCTAGCATTTCTTCTCGGTCTGCAAGGAGGATACACAAAGTACTCGTGTTTTCTTTGTTTATGGGATAGCAGGGCTGCAAACCAGCACTTCACAAGACGTGAGTGGCCAGTGAGAGAACATTTACAGCCTGGTTCGCACAATGTTATTAATCAATCTCTGATACCTGTTGAAAAGATCTTACTACCACCCCTTCACATTAAACTTGGTCTTATCAAACAATTTGTCAAAGCATTAAACCCAGATAGTGCAGCATTCCAGCATATTCGGCAGATGTTTCCAAAGGTGTCAGATGCAAAAATTTCAGCAGGTATATTCGTTGGTCCACAGATTAAAGTTATGTTGGCATGTAAGGAGCTTGAGGACAAAATGTCTGCTGTTGAAAAAGAAGCATGGACTGCATTTAGACATGTTGTTCATAGCTTTTTAGGCAACAATAAGAGTGATAACTACAAAGAGATAGTGGAAAACTTAATTGTACGGTACGCAGATATGAAATGCAGAATGTCAATAAAGCTGCATTACCTGCATTCACACTTGGAATTTTTCAGACCAAATTTGGGTGATGTGAGTGAAGAGCACGGGGAACGTTACCATCAGGATATTTTTGCAATGGAGAAAAGATACCAGGGCAGATGGGATGCAGCTATGATGGGTGACTACATCTGGTGTTTGATACGCGATGACGAGAAACTTCATAAAAGAAAACCTCGTTCTACTGTTCACTTTTAGTGTTTTTTGAGATTGTGAGAGACTGTTACAATACAATATAATGTAACATTATGTAATATATGTAAGAAACATAATGTAACATGAAGTTTTGTAACATAAAATAACACTTTTGAATTAGTAAATGTTTTATATTGACTAAAGTAGAATCTAATGCAAAACGATTTATATTAACTATATGTTTAATTGATTTTTTGGTTTTACGACCACACGATTGATGCAATAAAAAATCCAATGTCATATTCAGACTCAGCATACTCAAATTAATTAAGAAACATCAAAAAATTTTGATAAACAGAAAAATTTTTTTTTTTGTTACATTGTGTTATAGTTCACAAAATATTTAGATGATTTGATGCTTAGCATGTTTGCTAAAATCCTTGTGATTTAAAATTTATTTTGCAGAAATATTACAAAGTTAATATTTTCAAGTTGATATTTTTATTTCTAGAATAAAAGATAATGTAATTAAAATATAAATATATATATATATATATATATATATATATATATATATATATATATATATATATATATATATATATATAAATATATATATATATATATATATATATATATATATATATATATATATATATATATATATATATATATATATATATATATATATATATATATATATATATAGTGTTTTTCAATAACACAAAAGATTGTTTTATTGAATGTGCACTTATCGTTTTTATCGAGGAACGAAGATTCATTTATGTCTTTTACAAAAATGGCATACAAAAAGAACGCAGTAGACGTGTCCAAATAGAATTTCAGTACAAATAGAAAAAAAATCAAATGCTGGAGCTTCTAAAAGAATTTATGTAATTTAAGTAATTATGCCCTAAACATAGTATTTGACAAAGAATAGCAACAAGTTTATTGTCCCAAAAAAAAACTGTAATCACGCACTGAAAATCAACTTTTCGTAAACAAAAGAATGGCACAAATTTACATTGATAAAGTGTAAGATAACAGATAGTCAGTATCTAACTTGTTTTGTGTTTTTTTTAAAGGTAACTTTATTACTTTTTTGTAGCAAAATTTTTTATAATTAGATTCATTTTCATGTTGTGAAGAATACAACTTTCTACATCAAATGAGATGTATGTTAAGAAAAGCATTAAAAATAAGAATAACAAATCATACTGCTCTTCATTGCCAGAACCTCCGCCACCTATTATGAATAAGCCCAATGCTAAAAGTATAACACAAATATCATAAATTTATTTTAATGGTTTACAAACTGAAATAGATTCTTGTTTAATTTGATCTGAATAATATCTATCTAGCTATTAGTCTTTTTTATGTATTACTAAGATTTTTTTTTTATTTTAACTATTTGGGTGTCCTATTATATGTAATGTTGTTAAATTGGTTACATATATTTATATCATTGACAACATGCTATTGTATTAAATAATCCTTTAATCAACTTGATATGAAAATTGAAAATTGATTGAAAGCATGCTGAAGTTGTTTGAATTCAGAAATTGAAAGAGTACAAAATTGGTTAAAAGATTAAATTAAGTAACAGGTATGGTTGAGGGATTATTTATTGTTCTAATTATAATTATTTCTTTTTAATAGAGTTGTTATCAGATTCAAAGATTGAAAAAAATAATTTTTCTTCACATTTTATTGATGAACAGAATAAAACCAAGCAAAGTTCACATTGTCAAAGAGTTTCAAGTTTTAATATGAGTATTTTTGGTTTTTACACCACTGAATGTTAATGTGGAGGTCTTTTTTATTAGTTTGTTTTTTGTATCAAAATAATTGTAAAAGATAGATATAAAAGAATAAAAATGGATTATTTATAATATTGTGATCCAATAAATCATGTGTGTAGCATTTTACCTTTAGTAGTTAAACAAAATTCTTTAATATCGTAACCTTTTATTGGAAAAAGTTTTAGCTGATTTAAAAAGTAGGTTTTCTAAAATATTATGGCAACTTCTGTAATGGAGTAATTAAAAAACTTACATGTATTTTTGGAATTTTAGTTTGAGTTACTCAAGCATAATTTGAATTTTAAAGTTCTTATTTCATTGTTTTGCTATTTGGTTTTATGAGCTAAATATGTTAATCAATCTTTTTATTCTTGTTTGCAGAGATGCAAAATGTTATTCTCAAGGAGCTTGCAGAAATAAAAGTTCTTTTAAAAGAAGTTATAGAAATTAAGTTTCAGGCTACTGGGCTAAAATTGATAGAATCAGTGGACGAAGTGGTTACACTGGATAATAAACTAAAAGATAAAACCGAGTATACTAATTTGGCATAATCTAATTATCTTAATTTTTAATAAGTTTGTTTAAATTTGGTTTATTAGTTTAGAATCTAAATGAAAAGTATTTGTAAATGAACTAAAATAACTAGCTTGTGTTAGACTCAATATGTTGTAAAGAAATTTAAGTTACACTAGTTTTTATTACATTTATTTCAGCTTGATAGTTTAAAAAAGATTGGTGGTGGAAAGCCAAGATAACATGTTTTTTTGATCATGAAAAGGTAAATGATTATGTTTTTATTAATTATTAGAAAAATGATTAAAATGGACCAAAAGCAATTCATTTTGACCGTTATTTGTTATGAATTTACTTTTAACATGACAATTTTTTAAACTCGGGAGCTTCACTGTAGGTGTTTAAGTTTGTTTGTGTGCAAAGTTTTGTTTGTAAGTGTAATTCTAAACCTTGTTTAGCATTTTATTTTCAAATAAAATGCTTTTACTTTTCATAATTTTAAGCATTCATATATTAAAATATATTTTAATTTATTACATATATTAAATTGAAAATCATTATAAATATATTTCAGTTTATTGTTAAAATATTTATAAGGTTATTTTTCGAATCAGTTACAGTCCAAATTAAATCAAAAAGGAAATGGGGAAAAGATAACCTTAGAAAATCTAGTAAATATATGGAGTGTTTTACGAGGAATAGTTTTAATAGTATTTACAAAACTGATATCTGTATATATATATATATATATATATATATATATATATATATATATATATATATATATATACATATATATATATATATATATATATATATATATATATATATATATATATATTTATATATATACATGTATATATGTGTATATACAGTATTAGACAAAACATATGCAACCAACATCGAACAATGCTAAAAGGTGTTCCTAATTTTATGTCTTAAAAATGAAAAAAAAAATACTACCACAGCAAACAGTTCAGGAGTCTGGAGTCATAGCATGCCATGATATGAGCAATCAGCTGACAGGTGACAGCACACAGGCAGAATTTCGTTGACAAGTGCCATTTTGCAGCATACAAAACAAGTGCAACTTTTTTGGTTTGTTTCATTTTCTCAAGTCTGGTCTGTGTCAACGTCACGGAAGTTTTTTAATAATTAAAGAAAGTATCCAGAAGTTTCCAGAAGCATGGAGAAGCTTACAGAAGCTTTGAGAAGCGTGATTATTTAAAAATGGTTCCCGACAGTCTTGGATTGGAACTGAGAGAGAAAATTATTTGCGATTACTTAAGTGAAATGTCACAAAAAAGTATTTGTGATAAATATCGCGTGAAAAAATAGATTGTATCAAGACTATGTTCCAAATATTGTTCCACAGGGAAGTTGGCAGCAGATAACAATGGTGGAAGACCTCGTTCCACCACTTCTAGAGAGAATTCTATGATCGTCAGATCTATCAAGAAGGATCCCTGGATATCATCAGTTGAGATACAAAAGCAATTAAAGCTGCCTGTACGTCAAGCGGCCGGAAAACGCCTTGATTTACGTTACTGCCATAAGACCGTGAAGCATGGTGGAGGCAATGTAATGGTCTGGGGGTGTTTTTCTGCAAACGGTCTAAGTCCAATACATCGAATCGATGGAATAATGGACCGTTTCATGTATAAAAATATCTTGAAAGATGTTATGTTACCTCATGCTGAATGGAATATAACAATAAAATGAGTTTTTCAGCAAGACAACTCAGCAATCCTAAACACACTGCAAAAGTAGTCAAGCAGTGGTTCTAAGACAACCATCTACCGTATCGAGAACCTGTGGGAGATCGTCAATCGCAGAGTTAATCATGAATGTGTTCGTAATAACGATCAACTGTTTGAGCAAATCCAAAAGACCTAGGCAGCGATTCCACAAAGTTTCATTGATCACCTGATCGAATCTATGCCTTAAAGATGCAAGGCTATGATTGACAACAAAGGATTTACCACAAAATATTGATAGCAAAATACAGCTTGGTCAACATTTTGTGGAGTTGCACTTGTTTTGTCCAGAAGGAAATCAACTTTTTTTAATACTTTTGATTAATTTATTAATTTTCGTGTACAAATAATGAACTTTGTGATGAATAAAATTTAAATAACGTTGTCTCTAAACAGTTACATAGTTATTTCTCTAAATTGAAAAAATGCAGCACTTTATACAAAGAAACTAAATTAGCATCATTTGGTTGCACTGGTTTTATCCGATACCGTATGTGTGTGTATTTATATTTATATATATATATATATATATATATATATATATATATATATATATATATATATATATATATATATATATATATATATATATATATATATATATATATATATATATATATTAGGGGTGTCCAAAAAACAACTTTTTTGAGAAAAACCTGCTGACACCCCCTAAATGTGTTTTATCTAATCCAAAAACACTAGGTTTAAAATTTTTTTGAACAAAAATTATTTTTAGGGGTAGCTCAAGGCCCTCAAAAATTTGACGGGTCCCTAATATTTTGAAAAAAAAACTTTTTCTAAAGTATGTCAACCTGGTACTCAAAATAAGCAAAATTATATAAAAAATTTAAAAATGATAATAATTTTTTATAAAAATAATTTTTTTAGGTATAAATGCATAAAAACTATTGTTTTTAAGCTGAAAATAAAAAAAGTCAATATTTTCAGGTTTTTTGAGAATAATTTTTTTTAGGCATGTTTTTTATGTAAAATGATTATTATTTTTGAAGTTTTTATACAATATCGCTTCTTTTGAGTACCAGGTTGACATACTTTAGAAAAAGTTTTTTTTTCAAAATATTAGGGACCCGTCAAATTTTTGAGGGCCTTGAGCTACCCCTAAAAATAATTTTTGTTCAAAAAAATTTTAAACCTAGTGTTTTTGCATTAGATAAAACACATTTAGGGGGTGTCAGCAGGTTTTTCTCAAAAAAGTTGTTTTTTGGACACCCCTAATATATATATATATATATATATATATATATATATATATATATATATATATATATATATATATATATATATATATATATATATATAATATATATATATATATATATATATATATATATATATATATATATATATATATATATATATATATATATATATATATATGTATATATAAATGTAGCAGAGAATCTCAGTTTTTTGTTTACTAAAACATCTATATCTTACTTTTATCATTTTTGAATCAACAATTCAATTATCTTTAAAATCATTTCATTCATCAAAAATATACAAATAATAACTACTAAGTAGTTACTAAAGTATAACTTTAAAAACGTCGTTGCTACTCAGAAAATTTTTTTGTAACTAAATGCCGTCACCATCTTTAAAATTGTAATACCTGTATTTGACACTGCGCTTAGGTATAATAACTTTCCACATTTAAACGACCGTGTTTAAATTATGATGGTACTTGATAAAGTCGCTTAAGATCATACGTTTTGAGACGCTCAAGATGAGATGGGGCTTTTTATTAGAAAAACGCGTTTCTTTTTTAATTTATTCTCCATTGAGTTTGTATTATTTTGGTATTATAAGAGCAAAAGTTTTTTCAAAAAAAAGTACCGCAAACTCTTTTCGAGGAAAAATTGATTATTGTTTGTTTGTTTTTTTTTTATTGTAGCGATAACTACTTTTTAATTTAGTATAGTCCTAAAAGATTTGTGATCAATTTTTTGTTATTTTGAGTTTTTTTGAGTTCCATTAAAAAAAGCTCATCTTTGAAAACTGATTACCTAAGAGGAGATGATTGTGTGTGATGAAAACAACGCATTTTTTGGTATAAAGATTTTTTTAAATTAGCTATAAAATATTTTTTAAGAGAAAAAACTAAATTATGATAATCTGCAAAAATAAATATAAATATTGTAATATTTCGGCTACAAAAAACAATACAATACAAAAAACAATACAAAATACAATACAAATATAAATACAATACAACAATACAAAAAACAATACAAAAAACAAAATATAATTGGGGCTATTTAAAATTTAAAATTAAAAAAATCTCCTGACTCTTTCGGTATCTCAGCAGAACATTTGAAATACGCCAAGTGCGATACTTTAACAAAATGGCTCATCAAATTTTTTAATTACTCCATTAATTATGGATCGACTCCAATATCAATGTCGACGTCAACTATTGTACCCTTTGTTAAATCGTACAAAAAGTCTTTAGATAGCCCGAGCAACTATCGTGGTATTAGTATTATACCAATTTTTACAAAGGTTCTAGAATACCTGATCTTTATTATATATCCGGATATTAGAGATACTCATTCCCTACAATTTGGATTCAATGCTAACTCTTCAACGCTACATGCTGAATTTCTAATAAGCGAAACAATTAAACATTACAACAGCAACCATTTCCCTGTGTATCTATGTTCTTTAGATGCAGAAAAAGCTTTTGATAGCTGTAACTG